GGGGACCTTGGATCGGCAGAGGCGGGAGAGGGGCACGCCTGGCCCTGTGGAGTGCGTGAGGATCCGGGTAACCCGGGACCGGAGCGAGTGGCTCATCATCCAGAGCATCGACAGCTGGACCACGGCAGACACCTGACCGCGGGGGTGGCAGGTTGCCAAAGCAGCTGGGTTTTGTGCTAAGAGGCCTTTTATTTTTTTTCCACTCTTTTTGATATGGAATTAAATTATTGACTGCTGCTGGCACTGCCGCGTGTCTCTGGAGGGACGGCGGGCGGACGGGGCTGGGAGCAGGGCCCAGCAGGCTGCAATGCCGGGTGTGCGGGGAGGAGCAGAGGCTTGGGAGTTTTCAGGTTGGGCAGTCAAAAACCCCTCCTCCTGGGGAAGGACGGTGCACAGGACAAAGCTAATCAGCTAACTAACAAACCAAATAATTAATAAGGCAGTGGCGTTTTTTGCAACCTCTCCCCACCAGTCAGTTTTCTAACCCACTGACTCTGATTTCTATTTCCCCCCCTCTTCTATCCCATTTTCAAGCTGTTCCTGGGAGGGGCCAGGGGAGGGTAGGGGGGTGCTGCTCACCAAACCCCTCACCCTCCAGGACTGCGGACCCAGGGGTCTGGTCGCTGGGAGCAGGAACCCTACCACTGGTGATCCCTGATGTCTCGGTGCTCCTCAGAGGAGCACCGGCCACCAGATGGACCCATCGCACCAGCTCGGTCCCTGCCCGGCAGCTCTCCGCCGCTGCATTACTTATTTTTTTCCCCCCCTCGGGGGGGGGGGGGGGGGCGGTTGTCTGCAGTTCCCAGGGACCACACCCTGTGTCCGTGAGGGATTCACACGGAGAGGGAAGGACAGGGACGATGGGGTTTCTAACAGGGGGAGAGTGATTGAGCACCACAGAACAAGGCTGGGGAAAGGAAAACGTGACTTGGGTCTAAGGTGAAGCTCTGGGTGCTTTGTAGCCCAGCGAGGTGCTGAAGGGTACACACAGGCTGCAGGCACAAAGCCCCCCAAAAGTTTCTGTTCAGATTTGTCCGACAGGAGCAGCTTGGAGGGCTGGATCCTGCTGGGCAGCTCGATCCAGAGCTGTTGGCAGCACCAGCCCACCAGGCGGTGACGGGCGCCTCTCCCAATTAGGCTTTTAGCAGCGATCGCCCAGCTTTCAGCAAACGAGGAATTCCGACCTGCTCGGCCTTCCCACGGGACGGCTCGGAGCACTTTGTCCTGACCTGCGCCAAGCAGCACCGCTCCGGTGTGTCCGTGCTTTCAGCCCAGCTCTCCTGGAGCAGGAGAGTTGCCCTCTGAGCATAGACGGGCACAAACCAGTGCCAGGGGACCCACCTGCAGTGCCAAAACACCCGAGTGCCATAACCACAGCTCGGTCTTGAGGTCTTGCATCAACTTGCCTGCTGGGCACCGGAAAGCAGCCTGGAGAGCAGCCACTCAGTGCTGGGAGCCTCAGACCTGGCGTGAGGGGGCTTTTCCCTGAAAAAAAAGCCAGCCACGTAATTGATCTTTGTCTGCATTTAATACAGAGATGCTACATGATCAGCTCCAGCACCTTCCTGACATCATAAATATTCTCAGTGGGATCAATATACGCATTGCAGAATCACTTGTTTCCTCCACACAGCCCAAGCCCAGTCAGAGCTCTCGGAGCGTTTTGAGCAGCACGAGTGTCCCCTTCCCAGGGCCCAGGCAGTGTTTGCAGTGCTCCAGCAGAGCCTCTGCCCCAGTTCTCTCCGACACAGATGCCCCTGACCACACTGTGAGAGCACCAAGGGTTACCAATGTGGGTACAAACAGAAAGTTTTCTCCCCAGTATGTCTTTATTCGCTGCTAAAGCAGGAAAAGATACAAATGTAAATCAACCTTTTACCTGTTGGTCTCCTACTTGTGAAGGTACCGATCAGTTTTGTGGTCCTCACCTACACAGATAAGCTGCAATCTCAGCTACGCTGGTGTAAATCTGGACAGACTCCACTGCAGAGTGGAAATCCACTCCGTTTACACCAAGGTGAACGCAAGCAGCAGCTGACCACTGGCAGGGAACCCCCTCCTCTTCCTTCCAGTGCAACACACTTGTCTTGGCACCACGACACCCAATGAACATCGGTGCAAACTGGAGGAGGAGCAGGCGGCTTCTTCATCCTGAAGGAATGCTACAGACTTTATCCCACATAAAAATGATCCCACTATTTTAATCCCAGGAAGACTCAGCCAGCTTCCAACGCTCCGTACCAAGACCCCTGTCTCCGATGCGGGGGTGGGCTGGCAGAGACTTCGGTCCCAGCAAGGGCAACTCCGCCCGTGAGCTGGGGCAGCGGCGCCGCAGACGACCGCCCGTTTGCATGCAGCCACGGGGCGAAGGATCAGCGCAGATCTCAGCCAGGCAAGGGTTAAGGGGCCTCTGGGCTGAGAGGTGAAGGGCAAGGGGACAAACCCAGAGGCAAGCATTTTGGTCTGCTTCTCTCTACGAAGCCAGTACATCAGAGAGGTTTAGAGCTTTTGAACACCACGGACGGCCTGAAGGATGACTTGCTGTCTGTCTCGGCCGGCGGAGCTACGTTGTCTCTTGGGAAGTGGTGCCGCAGAGCTCAGCAAAGGTCTAGCTCAGCATCTTGTGGCGGTCAAAGACTGTCTTCCTCTGCTCCTGCACCTGGCGCTTCCAGCGCTGCTGAGCCCCCTCCACCCTCTCCAGCACCGTGTTGGCTCTAGCGCCAGCCGGGGCGGGGGCTGCGGCCAAGGATCGAGCATCCTGCAACAGAAAAAAACAGTGAAAGAGACTGAGGCGTGCCCAGCCCAAACACAGGAGGTGGCAGCTCAACTCTGGGAGAAATCTCAACTGAAAGAGCAATTCAAGGTTTGAGTTGTCCTGACAAAGAACTTCATTTTCAGAGCTCCTCAACACCAGGCCCCCAACTCCAGCTGGAAAGCCTGCTCTTGGGGACCACCCGTGGTAAAGTCACAGCCCTCAGACAAAGTCCCCAGGAGAGGATTTGCACTAAGTCTAAACCTCTGCTGGAAATGCACTGCTAGGGGGTGCCAGGAGCCACGCTGCTAAAGCAAACTGCATCACCCCGCTGAAACTGGGCCGACAATTCCCTTCGGCCACGGCGCACCCGCTTACACAGGAGCTGCTCATCTGTTTCTCGGATGGTGCTGCAGGACTTTTGTCCAGCCCCGCTGTTCAGGCTGCTCCAAACAGCCACTTTTATGCTGCAGTAATGTCAGAAGGCCCCTTGGATGGGGTCCATCGTGGCTCACGAGGCAGTCACAAGGCCTGTCCCAATGAGTTGACCGTCCAGCACGAGTAAGAGAAACCTTACCTAATATTTACAGTGGCATTTACAGTGGGCATCTAGATCTAAATCTGAATTAATGCTGTGGAGCAGTGGAGCAAAGTATCCTTTTAGGATACAATTCACCTCCTCCTGCAGGACCTCCTTCTTTCAGCAGAGGGAGGCAACAGATGGACTGTGCACCTCAGAGCGGCTACTCCTCGCTTACATCAGCGTACGAAAGAATTGGGCCAAACAGTTTTCACTTACAACGAAGTAAAACCAGGACAGTCTGATCCAGTGGTTTTCTCAGAGACTAGGAAAGGAGAGTATGTTCGAGTGTTGCAGCTTCCCTTCTCAAAGTGTGACTGAGCTCCTCACCAGCATCCAGAGCCACCAATTGCTAGGGAAGGCCTCCTCATGGGTCTCCTCCCAGCAGCCGGGGGCCTGGAGCAGCAGCTCGGGCACAGCTTGAGCACAGCCCTGGGGCTCCACCAAAGAACTTGGCTCCAAGAGAGAGCTCTGCCTAGTACTGCGCCCCGCTGAACTGCTCATGTCTGAACGGGGAAAGCCACAGGGAATGCTGTGCTGCAGAGCCACGCGCGGCACTAACAAGTCCTGGGCAGCCCTTGCATCCTGCAAACAGCGTGAGCTACAGATGAGCTCATCGCTGCGTGTGGCCACTCCACTCCCCCGCACTAGCCATCAGCTCTGCCTCCAACGCTTCCTCT